GGTGGAGTAGGCACAGGGAATGCTGCTTGTGTGCGTTGATCGTCTCATGGGCCAGACCCACGAACTGGCGGATGGCTGGAGGCGAACATCCCCAGTAGGACTGCCTCACATGTCCAGTGTCTCCGTCCAGGCCTAGCAGTGCGCTCAGCAGGGGGCGATCGCTGCGCTACTGTAGCCATCAACTGTCTGCCATCCGAACCAGGTAAAGTCTTCCTAGCGGCCAGTCTCGTAGTGTGTCATGGCCGCCGGAGACAAGCGTTTCCCTCCCAGGCACTTCACCACGACGTATTGCCTTCGTGCTCTGTCGCAAGTCGTGCATATTCCCTCGCGCTTGACCTGCCCCATCCATCAGAGTCATTGCCAGGAGTCGCCAATTATCTCCGACAGCCCATCCTAGCTGTCATAGGTTGGATAGCGTGCAATTCCAAGGAGCCATGTCCATGTCCGCTGGCTGATGCCGCCGTTGCTACTATTACCTCCACTCCCTATTATCGTCCCAGGGCCTACCTACCCTGACATCCTTGTTGCTTCGCAATTCGCCGACGCATCGATATTAACCCCCGATTATACATACTTGTACCCGTTCCCTGGACCACTCTCTGGTACCTCCTGTCGGCGACCTACATTCTCCATATTGTTGTTTGCATCTGCAGCGCCAGTACGTGCACAGTCCTGCCCCTCTACCACCTTGTGGCTTGACGACCATCCAAACAATTTCTGACCCTTTATACAGTTCACCCACTGCTGCTGCAACCCATCACGACGGCCCACGCATAATTCTCGTCCTGTAAGCGAGATCAAGACTGGAGTCGGGATAGAACTATCTGCATCGTCAACGCACCTGCCCCGCCTTTCGTCCCGCCCATTTCCAACCTCAACATCTGGAACGACACCGTTCGCATCGCCACATTTCGCTCTCTTCAACACTCACTCATTGCAACATTGACACTGGTGAGTTCCTATTCTAGCACCCGCTGTTGTCGCATGCGCTCATTGGTTACAGCCGCTTGTCCCAAAACTGGTATTCCGAGTTCTTGGTCCCGTGTTACATCCGCGCGTCTTCACTACCATCCATATAACGAATCTCGACTGCTGTGCGATCGAAGATCGTTTCTCATGCTATTCTGCTGATTCAAGGAATTGACCTCGCTTTCTTTCCGGATCACGTTCCAAACGTTCGTCTGAAAACGGAATCGAAACCATCAACTACCACTCTTCCCCATGTTGCAAGGTATCAGGGCATCGACTCTGACGATGCCTTCCTTCGGACACGACATGTCCATTGGTGGCGTGCAAAAGGTGGAGGGATACAGCGATACAGATTCATGGAACTGGCCTCAGCAACCGACCTCCCACCAAGCTTCATACTCGAACATGTTTGATCCTTCCATGTACGCCAGCTTCACCCCTCCCATGCAACAGCAAGTTCGCCAACCGCCCCGCCATCACTCAATCGCCACTTCTCGCGTCGTTTCAACTGCGACTAGCACGCCACCACCCCCCAGGCCCCAGGTCACAGGAAACATGGTCAAAGCGCAGCCGGCTTTCAAGCCCACGTGGCAGGGATTCCTAGACACAACCAAAGATGCTATGACCGTAGTAGAAGCAGCACTTCAAGGCCGCCTCAGCCATATTAGTCGCAGACCGCATGACAAAGAGCGCGCAGAGATGCTTACTTCTGGAACCGTATTGGTGTACGAGGAGAACGCCTCTGGTATCAAGCGATGGACCGATGCTGTCCACTGGTCCCCAAGTCGGGTTATGAACAACTGCCTCATCTACCGCCAGCTCGTGCGCGCGTTGAAGCCAGAGGAGAAGAAGTCGGCCCTGAACCCATCGTGTGGAACCAAGAGGAAGCGGAAGGAAAACAATGGCCCCGTTAGGTCCAAGACTGGTGAAGTGCTAGAAAACTCAGAAGACGAGTATGAGAATCCCTCGTTCGATCCCTCGCTATCCGGCGATGTCGACTCCATGAATAAGGTGTACGCCAACTTCGCCCAGAGCTTGACACCCGATCAACAGCGACGTTTCTGCGGCTCTCTCATCGATAGCTACGAGTTCAAAGAGGGTGGTTTGATGAAGAAGACCATCTCAGTCAAGTACCAGGGCACTCATCACCATGTCATTTCTTATTACAGTCTGGAGGACGTCGTGAGCGGAAAGCTCAAGCGACCATTCCAAGATCCAAAGCTCGCCGACATCCAGCCAAGACCCGAGCTTTTGAATGGTTGGAAGGTTAGCCTTGAAGATGAGGAGAGCAAGGACATGCCCCTTGTAGCAGGATACCCACACCACATCCAGCCAAGTCATGTGCAGCATCATGTTATCGGAGCTGTAACTCAATCGATCGGTGCTCAGGGTCAGCTCCAGACTCATGCCCCTCTTCATCTAACAGTTCCCGACTACTGGCATGGTCCCCAGGTTTCGCAGTACTCGTCGAGCCACCATAGCCCTCAACACTATGCAGCACCTCAGCCTGTGGCACCTCAGTTCTCGGCGCACCAGCCAGCACATCAATACTCCGTTCCGCAGCCATCGTCGCAGCATTACGCACATCCGCCATCTCCTCAACCATACTCTTCGCCACATTCAGCTACTTCTCAATACTCCACACAAGCTCCTCCGTCTTCACACTACACGCCACAGCCACAATCGGCGCGTCCCTACTCTTTCGAATCCCCCTCTACTACATCAGCCTCCTCATACTCTCAGCACGCACCTGCCCCACAATACCAGCCGCCACAGCCTGCTGCATACACCCTACCTCAATCCGCTGGCTTCGAGGCCCAGGCTCTGCCCCAGCAAAGCTCAACTGTCGGCCCCCAGCAGACCCAAGTCCCAGGACCACAACACGACCAACAGAGGAGGGCTTCGGCACCAGTGGCTCTGCAGCAGCCGTTCACCACACCGCAATTTCCCGCGGCTCCCCACCCTCACTCATACTATGTAACGGATCAGAAGTACGTTCCAGAGCAGAAGTACTCATCTAATGCGCACCACGGATATTAGGGTGCTGTCGCCTTGCATCATTTCACACATTTTCGAGACATACGATCTACAGAGCATACACGAGACATTCATGGAGGATGATTTGGTTGCGATACCCCCTTAGCGACATTTCCTTTGGCGAAGGTGGTACTTTCCCAATACCAGCATTTTGGCTCATGGTAACCCAGTTACCCTCTTTCCTACAGATACGGTCGGAGTTGTTGGTCCTTTGGTTCTCTTTGCTTATGTTTGTCCTTCTGGACACGTGTTTCAATCAGTCTGTCATCATGGTGGTCTTTACCAAAAGCATCTCATGTCCTACTTCGCATGGTCGCTTACGATACCTTGTCGCATTGCATTGCATGTGTTTTCTCTCGTTCTCGTTACCATACTTGCTGCCTATTACCGCCATACCCTTGTACAAATATAATCCGACGCATGTAGCTAGTGCTCTATAGTAGCAGCCTTTACCACTAAACATCGCGGATACGCGCGACGAAACAAATCAATCAATAAGTCAAAACATTCTGCTCCACCTTCTTCAATTCGTAAATGAAACGTGTCCACTTGTTTAGTCATCATTTGCTCTATTTCTCTCTGTCAGCTGCCGCCAACCGGCTTTGTCGTACGATTGTTCCTACGAAGCGGACCGCGAAACACGACAACAAGACCCATCCTAGATGTCGACCTTCTATATCACTCAAAGCGGAAAAAGGAACGCGAGATTTTTCTACGCCGCACTCCTGCGCTAAATGTACGGAACAGCTACCATGCCGCAACTCAATCCAGCCGTGTCCTACTGGCTAGATGGAATCCCTCTTCCATAGGAACAAACATCGCATCATTCACATCACATATCGACTGACCCGCGCCGTATCGCCGAGCTATCGTTATTGCGCATTGCACATCGATGACAGGATTCCGATTCGCGAGATACGGTAGCCGAGCCAATTGATAAAGCAGGATGAAGAGCAAGGGCTTCTGGGGTTGGGAAAGGGATTGCTGCGCTGAGTAGTTGACGCGATAGTGATGTGCAGGAAGGCGTGTCTTAGATGTGAGATCTGTTAGGGATCCGGGCGGGTAAGGATGGAGAGCTTGGGAGGAATGCGAAGGGTCGATGGACAAGATGACGCGTGTTGTTCGAAGGACGAAGAGTCGGACGGATTTGTGCGAGCGCTTAGCAAGGACGTTGGAGATATGATGTTAGCGTCGGCGCATCGCTGCATGTCATGTTGACGGCATACATCCCATAGGATGGATTTTTGTTCCACCCATAGGGCTGTAAGTATGTCCTGCATGACATTCGATCGCGTCTCGGTGTGAGTTCCGCGTTGTTGCGATTCATGGTCACGCTCCTTCGTGGCTATAATCCCTTCCATCTAGTACTTTGTGGAACAGGTTGCATGAGTAGCCTCGGGAGACATGCATGTGAAGAGCGCCATGTCAAGCAGTTCTACGGTGGACAGGCTTCGTATCATCCGAAATGTGATAGCCAAGGGTTAATACGTGATATCTACGTCTTGCCAGTGCGTTTCCATTAACAGACGGAGAGGAGCTCGCGGGCATGACTTAGCTTACTGCAGATACCCTTGTCTGCATTATCGGATTCGTAATCCTGGAGCATAATGGTTGTAATGGCCCTTGATTGTTCTACTGAAGCATCTGGACATGTGACGACACTATGATCACAGTGCGCGATCATCAACAGGGCAACTTTTGAATCACCATGGATGGTGGATCGAGGGCCGCAGGGTGTGCTCGTTCTTTGAGTCGCAATTTCATGTCGGTTGTGTATAGACCGTCATTGTGCGGTTGTCATGAGTAGTACAGAGAACGTGCCCGTCTCGGGGAACCGCGTCGCGTGCGCGAGCGCGATCTCGCTTGTTCGTCCAGCCGCTCTCTTTCCTCCCACCATTCAATTTCTCCCCGTCTTTCCATCATCACATTCCATCAAAGAAACCGTTCAAACTCCCGCAACCGTGCGCTGCCTGTTTAATAAACATGGACTCATTCTATGAATCCTTCACAGGGTGCTTCCACTGCTGGTACGAGACATAAGCCTGGAAGCCGGAGATTCCGAGGCTTAGGATCCCAATGACTACCGCAATGAAGACACCAATCATTGTTGCCATTAGCATGTGCCTTTGCGCACTATACTTTTGGACCCAATTCTCCCAATCGCGACGAGGGCTTGGATGCTGTATCTCGTCGTAGATTTCCTTCAAACGGGTACCAAAGTAGGTATAGTCGACTTTTGGTTCATCCTTCCGTCGGTATCGAGATACGCCACATTGCATCAAATCCGGGTCCAAATCGTATTTTGGTACGAGTGCTTCAGATGCATCGTCTTTAAACAGAATGCAGTACAGCGTGTCCAACACTTCCAATGCGAGTAATCGTGGGATCAAACAACGACTTCCATCCGGACGGCTTGCTAGTAACATCTCCTTCAGCACAGCAGAACAATGGAAGACCCGGACGATCTTTCTCTTTCCACTGTAATCCATGGTCAAATGGCCGCGCAGATCATCAGTCGGTTCAAATTTGAACCCTGCCTTCACCAGTTTACTAGCAGTCAACGCGTCCAGGAAGTCGGATAACCTGGTATCTCCCAAGCTGTGTTCTAGAAAACCAACACTCTCACGTGGAAATGCTTCCGAAATGAACTCTGTGACGGTCAAACCGCGGCGCCACGAGATGGATGGACCGCCTTCCTCGAGGATATCCGCGCAGTCGAGCGATGTTCCACAGTTGGTCATGAACAGAACACTGGCTGCTATGTTCACCACCCGATCTTGATCAATGGGATTTGTACAAACTTTCCTGTTAGAGTTTGGGATTGAGAAATGAGATTTGACGATGCTTTCTCGGTCCAGATCTGGGTCGTTTTGGATAGCCTGGATGAGTCGGAGGAGATCGTCATGTGACGACAAGGCTGGAGATGAGCCATTCGTGTCTTCCGGCACATATGCAGCCGTGAGAGCCTTGTATCGATTCCAAAATGCGTCAAGACGTTCTGCTCTACTCCATGGGCATTTTGCCTGATTGCACGTCGCGTCGCCAGTGCATGTGTCGCAGATGTCCCAGTTCCACATTGCCTTTCCCAGCTTTTGCAATTGTTCGTAACTAACATGGTTCAGCAGGAACCATGGATTTGGAGTAGCCGCCATCGAAGAGTAAATCCAATGCACCTACAATGATCAAGGATGAGGGGATGGTTCGAAGCTGCTGAATGGTTTTTGAGCTCAGCCATGCTAGGCGCATGCGAGGCTGAGCGACACAAATGTATGATTGGTTGCCACATTTGCCACTCGATGTGACTCTATCGCGTCTGATTGGAGTTCTGAATGTCAAGGCGTTCTCTTGGGCAGACTTGCGTACTAAGGCATCAACACCACGCAAATTGCCTCGCCTCTCACCAGCCGTATGAACCTTGGGTTTTTCCTCAGCTTCTTGGAATTGCACTGTTTCTCTGCCATCCAGATCTTCGCCCTTCTAATTTTCTTGCATATAGCATACACGCTTCTTCTACCTCGACAACATCTTCAGCTGGTACAACCGCGAGCGGTGACCTTTTTCAAAGTTCTTAATATGATCAGAGGCTTAACGCGATTCGAGAAACACGTCGACGACGCCACTCGTCTTTATTTTGAGGATGTCGTACAGAGAGTAAAAGGCCCGCTTCTTTTCATCTTGCGCCAATCCAAGAAAAACTTTCGGCCATTCGTCATACGTCTACTAGTTTTGGGCACGGACGAACGCTCTGCGAGACCTTGCATAGTCATATTCTGTCCAGCTTGTGTGAGCGGTTTGGTGGAGAATTTCTTCCTGAAAGACAGTTCCAAACGCCTCTGTCAGCCTGGCAAGGCTGGTCCGGCATCCTTTAATGTGGTTGTGGAAGGTCATCCCATACGACCTACCACGTCGCAATACCCTCACACTACCTCGATCAGTACCGGTCACTCGATGAGCGACTTCTCGAGATTCGGAAGTGCCCGTCTCAAGATCGACGGAATTCATGGAACTCGATACGCTACACTAGGCGGTCACATAGTTGTGATCAACAAGGATGAAAGCCTATCGTGGTACGGGCTCACTGCTGGCCATTCCATTGTTCAAGATGTGCTTGAAGAAGAAGTTCAAGGCGTACAAGCGAGTGAAGACCTCGATATTGGACTAAGTCTCTTTTCTGGCCTCACTATTTCTTCACCTTCGCATGCTCCAGAAGTAGAGGGGAACCGCGCAATGAGCAACACTGCACACAACCTTATCACTGATTCTCAGGCATTGGTTGAGTGGTCAGGTACCGCAACTATCGCATCAGCATCCTTTTCCGCTCAAGCATACAACCGGGATTGGGCTTTGCTGGAAGCAGTAGATGATCAGTCTCCCTGGGAAGATCGAGATGAAGGAATCTTCGAAAAATATGTTCTTGGTGATTCTAGACTTGGTACCATGCCAATAGATGCAGGAGTACAGATGGGTTTCCAAACACCCCTCAGCGGAAAGCTTTCCCGTCTTCCATCTTTTGTATTGCTATCTAATGGGAACGATTTTGTACCGGTTCACACAATCACGATGCGCAACGCTCGTGGTAAGTCATGGGTCTCACAATTTTTGGTATCAAACTCACATATGACAGGAATACCGGCAGGTACTTCAGGTACATGGGTGTATACGGAGACCTCGAAGCCAGCGAATAGCAGTCGGTCTCAAAGCGCAACAGCAAGTGATCCGGATGATCAAGCAAACAGGATTATAACTGTCTATGGCCAAACAATCGCGGATGACTCTCTAGGGGATGTTTACATGGTACCTCTGTGCGATATTCTCAATGACATCAAAGATGCCGTCGGCGCTCGAGGAGCAAGACTTCCAGAAAGCAATACGGAGGTAGATGAAATCTTGCGCAGGGTGAAAGATACTACGATCAATGCCTCGCAGACTCAGGTGGATAACCCAGCATTAGCCCAGCCGCCAATAAACGAAGCCGAGGCTACGTCCAGTTCGCTGAATAGGATGTCTTGCACACAGTGTGGATCTGAGGGACATACTAGGGAGACCTGTGGTGTTAAGGATTCTTACAGTGGCTATGGAAACGACTCACAGAAAACTTCAACACCTGTAGTGGCTGCACCATATATTCCTACCAAATACTCGAGCGGCGATAAAGGCACGAAGATCTGGTATTGCTCTGAATGTGGCGACGGCCCAATTGGCGTGTGGCAACTGTGCTGCACCAATTGTAGTCACCGAAGATGCGGGGTGTGTGTTACGGAGGTGCATAAATAGGACGACGCATTGGTCACAGGTAGTCGGTTGGATAGCAGGAAGTTATCCACCTCGCTAGTGCTCATACGTTTCCACAATATCTCCAGTCCTTACAACTCAAGGAACCTTCGATCCACAGCGTGATCCAGACAACAGTGTGCCTACAAAAAGGTGTAAGACACATCGACCGTCTCTGACAGTTGAGTACAAAACAGTACAATGCTTTCGATAAGAAAGGCCGACGCGACAATTTCACTCAGCTAGATGGGCAACTGAGAGAAATAGAATACTGAGGTAACAGTATTGAAACTTGCATCGCAAGCAAAAAGAGTCGCGAAGGGCGTCTTGGAGTCGAAGACAGTCAAGCCTGATAGGAAAGATGTGATACCTGGGACCACAGCAACCCAGCAACACGCCCCAGAAGGGAACGGAATATGAACACTGTTTTGAAAGCATCCTCGCGCTTTGATTAGCTCATTGAGTATCGAGAATGCAAAGCGCATGATGATCTATTGGGTTATTGATGGGGCTGGAGGGTGGCTGGGACATAGGAGAGAGGCCGCTCACGTCATAACCACGAACATCAATCCAAAGACTGAATACGTCGAGCGCGATTCCCACGAACAAACTGTTATCTGTGCGTTGTGATAAGACCCTGATCAGCAACAATTTAGTCAATCTTAGCACAAAGGGGTGCAAACCTGCATCATCTCGTCGACATGCCGCCAAAACGTCACAAGATTCCCGATCCGGCCTCAACACCGGAGCCCAAAAGGCGCATCACGCGCTCATCTAACAAGGCGGACATCGTACCCGCGCAAGACCGAACAAACGACCCACCTAACGCGGAACCAACGACTTCAAACAAATCACGTGTGCTAAAGCGCAAAGAGCCTTCTCCAACAAATGCGACACCAGAAGCAGATGAGCTACCGGCCGAAGATGGCAGCCCAGCACCTCAAGTAATCACGACCCGAACCATCATACACGAACTAGTCAAGAAACCAATTCAATGCCATCAATACACGCCGTCCTCCTCAAATTCATCACGAACCTTGATCTTCACCCACGGCGCTGGTGGCACGCTCTCCGCCGACGCAGTAGTAAACTTCTGCACCGGCTTCTCCAAGTATCTCCCCGTCCTCGCATTCCAAGGCTCCATGAACCTAAAGGCGCGAACCAAAGGCTTTCACGCATGCATCGAAGAAATCCACTCTAGCCAAAAAACCACGCAAAAGAGGAAATCAAAAGAGCAGATGAAGAGAAAGAGGATGCTGCTAGGTGGACGAAGCATGGGCGCCCGAGCCGCCGTCATCGCCGCCAGCGAACACCTAGCCGAGAAGGACCACGAACAAGAGGAGACAAGCATACAGCTTGTCCTCGTATCGTACCCACTGCAAGGCCCTAAGGATGATTTGCGCGATCAGATTTTGCTCGACTTGCCTGAGAGTATCAGCGTGCTTTTTATCATCGGCGACAAAGACGCCATGTGTCCTTTCGATCTGTTGAACGAGACTAGAAGAAAGATGGTAGCGAAATCACAGGTCGTTGTTGTAAGAGATGCAGACCATGGTATGAACATCAAGCCTGCTAGCGCTACGAAGGAGGTTGGTGAATCGGCAGGACGAGTGGCTGCGTGGTGGGTGGAGGGAGATTTGAAGGCGGATGTACAATATATCGGAAAACAAGAGGAGTGAGTAAGAGGGGTATGAACTTTTCCAAAGACGGATCTTCAAGCATATTGGTGGTCTTGAACATCTTCATGTTTCTCATCTGCTTTCCTCTTCATTCCGAATATGAGACATTACTAACGCATGTCCCAATCTGATTAGGGGTACCTGCCATCTACTACTCGAGAGATCTTGTGCCTGTTCTCATTTTTCTCTTTGTCTACGTCATCCTCGTCAGATGCGATGATACCTCTTCTCGCTAGCTCCTCCAGCCCTTCCGACGTCTCAGCCAAGTCCATCCACCCAACGATTTCTTCATCATCCGATCCATCACTATCGACCTCTTCATCAGATGCGCGTACTGGGAGCCGAAGTCAAGTCTCAAGATGGTATCAAATGTCTTGTGAGTGCCAACCTAGGTCGGGCGAAAGGGAAGTTCGCCAAATCCTTCGCCTGCTTAGAGGCCATTCCAGCCTTCTTATCGACGCGTTCGTTGCCGGCAATTCCCGAGTGCGTCGGAACCCAGAACATCTGAACCCTTCCGGGTTCGATGGGGAGGAACCGGAGTAATTCGAGAATGTCTCGCCCAATCGTGGCCTCGTCGGGGAGAGGAACGGGGTCAGAGTTGTCTGGTGCAAGAAGAATGGGTTGCCAGATCTTGATGTGTTGAGGAATGGCAAGTATTGCTCTCTTGGAATGCTCTTCAAGCATATAACGAGTGGCATCCCGTTCTTGGCGACGTGACTAGCGAAGAGGATGCGCAAAGTCCTCCATGGTGGCTGGTGACGACGCGAGAGATATTGTAATTCTAGCAAGGGGTAATTCTTCGAACGACCTGTAAAGGTAAAGATACCAAGTCAGTGTATGTCTCACATGTATTTCGTACAGGTACAAATCACCCTTCGTCCGCAAGTTTGAGAATTGCTTCGCAACTTGACCGATAAAAGCGAAGCAATACCAAGTGCGAGTATACAAAGATGACCAAATCAGAAGCGTCTCACCATGGACGTTGCTCGACAACCTTAAGTCGCAAAGCAAAGTCTTGGTTAACCTAAGTTTGCTGCCGAAGTTGTTCTTAAAGCAAAGTCCTATCGTTGGCCAATTGTTGATTCTGTCGAAGTATGTTTGACGCGTCTGCTCTTGCAATTGACCAGCTAGCGAATGTGGTGAAAATGGGTGGAGTAGTTCCAGTCAGAGCGGGAATAAGAATGCACTGACGGAACGAACGAGGCATCTCGTGGGCGAATTTATGTTCAGATAGGAAAGCGGATCTCCTTTGGTAAATCAAGGAAGCGTGCAAATCTGGGCTGCGGTCTCAAGCCATGCTGTATGATGTCTGACCATGACTGAGCCGGCTCAGCAGCACTGCAATGTTGTAGGGAGACTACCCCTGCAATGTGTTCGTGCTGTTGAACGATTGAAAGATTCTCAATTTCGGCCTCGAGGAGCTTGGTATGTCGTGTAACGGTAGTCGCGACAAAAGCGATCCACGTGAAGTTGGATGAATTGGAGAACCTGGTCTTGAAAACACATCCGGTTTTGATCCCAAGGAGGTACCATTGGCGAGGCGATGGCCAGGCAGTGGTGTTAACGCATTGTATGATCTCTCCTGTGCCCGGATTCCATTGAGAGTGGTAGAAAAGATTGTCCTGAGGAACGACTCCTGGAGAGGTTGTCTCCTCCTGAGACATCTGCCTCGTGGCTCTCGGACTACCTCCACCGACTCGGGTCCCATCCGTTTGGGTAGTTTGCAAGGTCACGAAGCATCTTGCGCAATGTTAGCAATTGCCTAGAGCGATAGAACTGATATAAACGTACGTGCAGCCCAATTGCCTATATCAGGCTGAGCGCGCCGGTCAAGATGTTTGTTGGAAGCATCAACCATACGTTGCGGGGCGCGCCCTCACAGCTGGTATACAAAGCTGTAGAAGCAAGCGAGTTTCCGGGGATTTCGCCTGTCAGCTTCAGAAGTGAACGAATGTGGCGTCTTTTGATGAAGATTGCCTTTCAACGACGACGCAGCTGTTGCATGTCAAGTGTTCTTCGCAATGAGCAACATTAGCTGAGAATGGGAAGTCGTCTGCGCAGATGCAGCACTCGTATTCGATTGTGTCTTCGGCTGATCGTGGCTCGGTCAATGGTACTTTGGCGTGAGCTTTCTGATCTTCGGCAACAGGACTACGACGTCTCCTGCCAAGATTGATCACTGGGGACCTGGAGGTTACAGCTTGAGTATAGACCGGTGGAAGCAAGTGGGTTCCCCGAGAGTTCGCCTGACTGTCGCAGGTCATTGAACTTGGTGGTAAATCAGGGGCGAGGTTATCGCGAAGGTACAGCGGGAATGTCGTGTACCGGTAGTCACGACGGAATTGATCTACATGAAACCGGGTAAAATTGGCCACCAGGCCCCGAAAGTAGGGTCGAGATATACTATTGGGGACCTGGAGGCTGAAGACTGCCTCTGAGATAGGTGAGGATGGTCGGGTTCAGCGACCGTGATGAGACGATGTACTTTGTGTGAGGGCTGCTGGAGACGTTGAGCGTAGAACCTCCTGATGGCTGTAGTGCTTCCGAGGTTTGTTGGATACGTTGGGCTTGTGCAGAGTAGGGTCAAGTTATGGAATGTGATGTAGGAGGCAAGCAACAATGACTCGTAGTAGTTGTTGGAGTATAAGAGTGATGGATTGATTCTACAGGTGATGTGGGCTATATAGGCAGTACGCTAGAGGTCTAGCAGGTACTAATAACAACATAAGATGGCTCTTTCTTAGTGGTTAGTTGCTGATGACTTGTAGTAGGCAGGTACTAATAATATGTAGTAGGCAAGTCCTGTCAGATTGAACTCAAAGGCAAGATATACCCTGAGCTATTATTCGTGATTTCTTCCAACGTATACGAAGGTAGAGCCAAGGGAGTATCTCTAGCATACCGTGTGACTTCCTCGACGTACGAACGTTAGCCAGTAGCATCCCCCTCCGCTTCCCCATCGTCATGCCCAGCACCACCTCCCTTACTCTTGTATGCCTTGAAAGCAGTACTAACAATATCCCCCGTACCATCCCTCAACCTCCTCACCTCGACAACCCCACTCTTCTTCCTCAGCACAACACCATAAACCCCCTCATCAACCACAACCCCCTTCAACCACCCCAAAAACTCCGTCGCAAAATTAATACACACATTCCCGTCCCAGCAATTCGTACCCCTGCGCACCATGCCAGGAATCTCATGCGTATTGAACGTCTGCAGCCCCCTTAGTATTCCGGCTTTACTCCTAAACCCCACGGTGATCTTGGGTACACCGAGTAAGAAAGACTGAGCCCAGAACTTGAGTAACTTTCGCTCGAACTTGAGGATGTCGCGGTGTTGTTGTTGGCGCGGTGGAGGAAGTTCTTCGCTGGTTTTCAGTTCGACCCATTGGATAGGTTGCTCTGGATCTGATGGTTTCGGTGCGAGGAGGCCGTCTACTTCGCCGCCTAGTATCAGACTATGAGGCCCGAAGGATGTGTGCACTATAGAGCAGTGCTGGGCAGCGTTTGATACGACGCCTTTTTGGTGCTGTTCGATTTCCTCGCGAGGCGTGGAAGAGGGTAGAGTGGGTATGAGGGTGAGTTTCTCAAACTTGTAGCCCCAGTATGTCATCATTTCGCGGGATTGCTGGTCCGGGTGTTGGTTGTAGCGAGGCGGAGGACGGGAACTCTCTGCGGCCCGGTCGGCGGCGCGCGAGGGGAAGTCTTCTTCGATGTAGATGGTGCCGTTGTGGAGGGTTGCGAACATGCTGAATTCGGCAAAGTTGTCAAAGGGTGCTGTCATGATCTGGGATGTTGTTAGTAACTCTTCTAGGTTTAAGTAGCAGCAAGGTAAGAAAGCTGGATTCGCTTACCTTGCCATGTTCTAGGCCAGCCTACTTCAACATACCTTTGTCATCATACCTCGCCAGGTCATGAAGTCGGCTTTCACCTCTTCTTTGCCTGTCTTGTCTTCCATAAGCGCCCGGAGCAGACTGTCTAGATGAGGATCTTCCTTGTCCTCATAGTGTTTGAAAGTATCGAAGCCCTCCTTCAGATCTGCACCCATGGGTGGCGGTATGTAGTAGTTGATGCCCGACTCATCTGGCTGGTATTCGTGGTTGTCGTCGTAGGAGAAGTGGGCGACTTCGCGCGGACGCTTTATCTTGGCTGACGCGCCGTGGAAGCGATTGAGTGGCTGTATAGAGAAGCGATGGATAGGAGTGTCAGCCGCCGGAGCCTCGATCTTGGGGGCTGGCATGTCTGTATTCGTCGCTGTATCCGTCGCGGTAGTTGAAGCTGGAGCTGCCGCTTGAGGAGGCGCGCGGGTCCTGGGTCTTTTTCGAGGCGGTGATCTATCTCCTACATCTCTAGGTGGACTTGGCGACGGCGAAGGAGGGTCTCGTGAAGCCATGGCTGGTTCTGATTTGGCCGATGCGTTTGTGCGCTGGCAATGTCGCACAAGACGCTTTAAGCTTCGCCGCGGGGGTGTCGCCATCCCAGAACCCCAGCTGTCGCCGCCCCACCGAACGGTACCTGACTAGCTACGGCGCGCCATCCGTGCCATCATTTCACAAACACTACCAACATCAACATCAAATCAACATTGAATCAACCTCGACCTCGACCTCACTCCACATCCCGTCCTCCAACACCCCAAACACAATACTCCCTCTACCCTCCAACAACACTCTCCACTTAATACCAAATGGACAACCGCGCAATACGTCTCCCACCAACAACCCGGCGCAACATCTTCGCCTCGCACACCGCCCAAAACCCAGACCAGCGACAACAACCACAACACGCACCCGCACGTCGCCAAAACGGCGCCGCACCCTCGATCCGCCCCGACAGCCGCGAAATAGAAGCCGACATCTTCAGTTCCTCCGCCGACGAAGATTTCGTCGAGCGCGACGCCCTAGGCGAATACATAGTCAAGGCGCCAACGCCCGTGTACCGCGACATGGGCGTCGGCAGCGAAGAGGACGACGAGACTGGTATGTCGGTTCCTGTCGCCGTCTTACTTACTGGCATCTTGTACTTTTGTCTCTTCTTCTGATGAGTCGGGATGATGGCATGATGAACATGACATATGTGGTACACACGCAATGAGGCGCAAAAACAAACGCTGACTTGTTGCATGTGCGGATAGAGCAGGAGAATCAAGTTATCAATCTCTACGGCAAGACGAATGCGCAGTGGGATATGGAGGCTGTGGAAGAGGAGATTCGGGCTGCGCTGAAGAGTAGCTTGAAGAAGAAGGTTGGCAGTTTGGAGGATGATAGGTGGATGTTTGAGGGGGAGGGGGAGGGCAGGAAGTAGATTCTGTGGTGGCTTGTTGGACGTGGAGGAGAGTAATGGAATGAGGCATTTAATCGTATGATACCCCTGTATACATAGTTCGTTTCTGGGAATGGAGGCATGACTTTGTGAATACAGTTGAGATGAGCTCTAATGATATGGTGATAGTAGGCAGTGTATGTCGTCGTGATACTTTTGTGTTGGGATCAAGGTTGAAAAGTGATATGTTGGTGTACCTCAGCTGCATATTATCTGTCTGCATACATGCCAAGGTCACCTTAATATGCAGGTATTCGATATGGATCTCGAGATGTAACGCGGAATTATAGTGTACCGTATTAGGCGATATCCGTTTCATGCACTGGCGCATCTGGATAGGTGACTTGTACTTGATGAACATATGAATGTGCGAACTCGCAGTTGCACGGCGTGAAGACATTGTCTATCCCAAGGAGGTATCATGACAAACGTTCAGCTATCGAGTTTCGGCAACGTAGTACCAACGACGCACCTTCTTGTGTAGGCACTTGATGTGCTTTGCGAGATATATTGCTATATAATATAGGATCATGCAGCCACACATGTGTTCCTGAACTGGTAAACCTCAACATGTCACCTCCACTTGATGGACACATGGACTTGGATCACTCATAATCATTCAACACACAATGGTCGTCAGCTTCCAGGGACCATCATGAGAAATCTATTCGCGGACTTACGCTCATCGTCGCTGCCGCTCCTACTGAACCCGCAACTTCAGTCCCAATCTAACCACCACCCCAAACTCCCACCGAAAAGAAAACAGACCCAGGGTATCATATCAAAACACATTTATAAACGCCGTTTACCCCCTCCTCACCGCCGCCAGAGCTCAAGCACTGGTATCCATCACTGAAGAAAAATGAGCAAATCGTTCAAACCCGCAACTAACAACATATGAACTTACAATCCCCCTCGTCCTCCGGCGTATACGCATCTCCGCCATACGCCCTCCCAGCCCAATGCACCGCAGCAATCAAGAAGTCCAGCTCCGTGGCCAGCACATCGAGCTCCGCCTGCTCCTCCGGGAAGATTGTCTCCCCAAACGACATGTACACCGCCATGCGGTCGTACTGCGCAATGGCCATTTCCTCGAGGCCGCGGAAGAAGAAGTAGAGGACTCGCCTCTCGTGCGAGTCGGAGGCGAGGGGGTACTCTTCAAACTCCCGGAGGGAGTCGGCGCGGAGGTCGTTTATGTTGATGGTGAATTCCATCTTGTTGTTGTTGGTGGTGGTAGTGGTGGTGGTATTGGGAGAGAAAATGTAGTAGTATAGTAGTATGTCAACAGCTTGAGAAGATTGTGATTATGGAAATATGTTGCCGGTGCTGGTTTGGTGGTAGGAGCGCGCTGATTTCGACGGTTTATGTTGTGGTGCCAAGACCACCTTTGGCGACGGTCTGGCTTCGTTATTGATGGATTAGAGTATTGGATCGACAGTGACTGCGTTGTACAAGTTTCTTGCAAGTACTCCGTCCTACTACCAGAAAATCCTTCCGCCTAATGTTTGTTGTAAGGTGTCTGAGCGACAGATATATCTACGAGGGTGAGGCTCCTACAACACCAGTGATATCCTCAAGACAGCGACGCCTTTCGACGAGCTCATATACAACAAGAGGTATCTGCCAGACCTCTCCAGTGATCCGTCCTCTTCTTGCCATTTCCTTCCTCGTATACTCCCCAAGCCGCTCCGCAAGCACCCTCCACCGTACACGACGGCAACCAATTAGACTTGGGAAAGGTACAACAGCGACAGACGGAGGCACACAAGTAGGAGGAGACTATACTGAAGAAAGATGAGGAGGTTGTTATACCTGCCCACCAGCCCTCAAGTCGCAGGTGCGTAGCAGTCGAATTGGGTGGTGGAGGGTACGCGGCATCTGTTTTGGCGCTGCTGGCCTTGACAATTCATATTGCGTTGCTCCTATTCAACAGCAGCGCCGACAGCTTGAGACAGGCGAACGCGAAGCTGCGTAGAGGTGGGTTTATACTTAGGTAGAGTAAGGGAGAGACAGGACAACGGATGTCAGAGCGGAGGATACGACCCGGAAAGGGGCGGCGCAGTAGATATGTATAATGGCGAATTCTGATTTCGCATAGCAGTCAATCCCGTGAGCTGTACGATCTGCTAATGCTGATTGTGATGCTCTTACCGCGCCGTAGTTCAGTTTCTCCGCCAGTTAGAATCAAGGCGCTGGAGGCGGACGAAGGATATGGACAAGTAGACCTACACCTAGCAGGAAAGGAGCGCGAAAGGGCTACTGGCTTTTCGAACTGCGCAGTCTCATCTTCGGGTTCATGTTGCTTTGTCGTGCGGTCTACCTGCCTACTCTCAGAGTTGCACAGTCCCAAGCTAAAGGCCGAGATGGTCTCGCCGCGCAAGTTCCTGGACCCTGGAGTCAAGGCCCTGGAGGAGCCATCTGGAAGCCCCAAGACGAACTGTCTGCGTCACTCATGTAATGATTGTGAGTTGTTTGGTTCGTTGCGTGACGCCAAAGTACAGCCTAGAGGTCTTCGTGCACTCCTAGACCATTCAGGTCATCATGAAGGAAGTCGCGAGGGCCTTTAAACCTTGTTTTCGCGCCGACCTTTGCTGATGCGCTGTCTGAGAGGTGGCCTTGTCGTGAATGCTTCATGCATAGTACCGTTCTAAATAAGTTCCTGGATGCCGGACTTTTCCAGAGTCCTCGCACTTGCTATCGTGAGTCATGACCGCGTGGTTCTGGCCCTTATGGCAGTCGCGGTTCGCTTTCAGCGGCAGATTCCACCACGAGGTGCTGTTTCCGCTGCCGGACTTCTCGTGGCTCTGGACGTGATCACAATCCTATCATTTCAGATGTCCACAGGCATTGCCTCAAGCCACGAATCTGTAGCTCCGGTTCCTTTGGCGATTCCTGAGCACCACGAACAGCAGCGGTCATTATAGAAGACCAGATTTCTGCTGGAGAGCCACCATTCGTGCTTGAGATCATTTTTCACACCAAAAATGCAAAACCCCATATCTGAACTCCCGTGAAGCTGCTTGCGCGCTGGGAGTCGTAATTGCCTACTCAGAAAGCTCAGCGGCATCCCCACGATCTCTGTTTTGGTTGTGAAGCTTCTCGCTGTCCTTGTCATAGTCTTCAACCTCAGCTCTACAAAGCACCATGCCCATAATTCTGTGAAGCTCTCCCGCGTGCTCGAAGCCCTTCTTGCCTACGTGGCGGGCTCAGCGTCACCGCCGCGGTCTCTTACTTCACACATGGTGACGGAGTTTCTGAGGTGAGACTATGTTTGCTCGATCTTCTCAAGCTTCTGGGTCTCTTTCCCGCAATTGTTTCGTCTCCAAGCAGGTTGACACTGAGTTTCCAGCTTTGAGGTTGCTCTTGCGGCACCGCTTCAACGTGCCTTCCCAGAGTGACTTGGATTCCCTAGAGGCTCCCACAAGCAGCAGCAACTTCCTCAATGATGTGATGACACGCTGAAGGTCGCGATTAAGAATCGCGCTCTCGCACTGCCTCACGTTATCTCACGCGGTTGCAGCTCACGATGTGCATGTGCCAGACTCATATGCTCTCCACAGTCATTGCAAGATCCATCACCATGCTTCCAACGCGTGTTTGAGTGACTTCTCCAACTTCCAGTCAACGAAGCCTGGAAAACCTTGATACCAAGAGGTTCATTCTGAGATCTGATGCAGCCACGAGAATTTTACAGCAGCTAATAGGACCCCTATCGATCTCGATTTCGCTGTGATCATCTTACAGCGCCATCACCACACGCTCTCCCGTTCCTGCTGCGCCTTCCTTCGGCTTCCACCCGCGGAGACTTCTGCCTGACGCTCCTGCCATGCCGGCACCCTCCGCAGGGCGGTCAGACGTCTTGGACGACGCTAGAAAATGGTGAGTGGGGCCTCACGACAGGTGAGAAATAGTTGAAGTATGGGAACTTCAAACCCAGGAGTTGTTTTGCAACTGAGATGCATCCTCAACTCCATTGAAGCCACATATACTTGGCTAACTGAAGTTGTAGAGCTCGACAAGCGCTATCTCGTCGTGCCCAGCTTGGTCTTGTGCGGGTGGTGGTTCGCTGGGTTTTGTAGGATACCCGTATACACTCGTCTTGGTTCGTCCATCAACGTTCGCTCAGAGCTCGTCCATCGCAACCTCCTTTTCGGTACGCATCTCCATATCGTGAGTGATGAGTCCTTTGTCCTGGAATACTGCCGTCGCCCGCAGTAGTGCCAATCACCTGACCGCTGGAGCTGCGGCGTCGATGGGAGTATATAACGAACCCACCCCTCGCTCCTTCCACCTCTTTTCTCCCCCATCTACACACCAACACCCTCACCTTGACAGACTCCTTGCTTGAGCTTTGCCAATCTTCCAACTCTTGCACATCCCCTTTACATCTTCACAACTTGTCTCATACCAAGACCTTTCAACAACATCTCATCATGTCTCATCACTCCCCTCAATCATCCTCTGCCAATGGCCCCCCCTCTTCACCCTTCGGCGGCACCAACCCTACTGTGTATTCGCCAGAGGCTGACCGCAAGCCGCATCACCGTCGTCAGCTTACCGCCATCGCTCCTGGTCAACAGGTTCCCAAGAACATCCTTCCTCAAGCTCGGATCTATATCGAGGGTGCCTTTGTCGACGAGTTCCTGCAGGGTGATCCCGCCTACGTCTCTCGATACCATCATGTCCAAGGCGGAGCCGACATTGATCATCTTCAGTTTCTGGTTCAGTCTCAGATGAGGCGTGTAAGTTGTCTCTGCCTCCATCCATCATGTAACATACTGACCATCTCTAGTATGCTTGCTTCCTCCACGCTGTTCCCTTCAAACATGAGCACTCTTCGACAATGTATGTTCGTTACGACACCGTCTCCGATGCTGCCGAAGGCAAAGACATTCTCCTCCAGGCCGGCCTCTTCGTCAACTACGTCTCGATTGTCGACTTCGCCAATGCCCAGGGCAAGGACACGGGCAAAGTCAAGGAGTGCGAAGGCCAAATCACCTTGTCAGTGTCGATTGAACCAAACCCCGATCATGCCATCTGGGAGTTTACCTCCGAGGACCTCGACAGCGTTACCAAGAACACTGAGACCATCGCAAAGGTCTTCGGTCCAGTTCGCAACGTCGTCCACGTCGACACCCTCAATGACAAGATGCATCTTGTGTTTCGGATCGAGTTCGACTCTGTCGACGCTGCACACCGAGCAATCCAGTCTTTGCGTAAAGATCCGGTCTACGGTCTGAACGCTGATGTAAGTGTTCCATCTCTTCTTCTTTCCATGTAGCCATTCTAACTTTCTCACAGGAGTCCTTCTACTGGACCACTGACGATGTTGGCGGTTGGCTTGGCGAGCGTCTGCTGAGCCCTCCTCGATACCTCCCACGCATCGACAGCCAGGGCCAGTTCTTCCCAGGAACTAATACTTCACCCACCCGCCGCTCTTGGTCCAACCCCTACAACCAGGTGGCGCACCGGTCCAGCCATCATCCGCATGATCAGCACAACCGTGTTCGCCGTGAGCGCATCCTCGATGGCAGCGACGTCCGCACTACGGTGATGCTTCGCAACATTCCGAACACGCTCGACTGGGTATGTCTCTTCTTCCATCATCTTCATGAACCCTTGACTAACCTCTTTCGCAGATGGCCCTCAAGAACATCATCGACATCGCCTGCTTCGGCACGTACGACTTTATCTATTTACGGATTGATTTCAACTCCGGCTGCAACGTGGGCTATGCCTTCATCAACTTTACCGACGCGAACGGCATGTTGATGCTCATCGACCGCATCGAGCGTCGTTTCTGGCCAGGATTCAAGTCTGACAAGGCTGCCGAAATCTCGTATGCGACCATCCAAGGCCGCGAGGCTCTTGTTCAGAAGTTCCGGAACTCCTCGGTGATGCAGGAGACCCCGTTCTGCCGCCCTCGTCTCATCATCACCTACACCGCGGCAGAGCAGATGGATCAGATTCGCCTTACTGGCACTGAGGAGCCCTTTCCTCGTCCTGACAACATCTCGAAGTTGCAGCGCTCGATGGACTCTGCGCGTTCCACTGGTCTTTACCCTCCTCGCGGCTACTCTTCCGGCACCGAATACCGCAACCGCTCGAGCGCTTACGACCGTGGCAGCCCCCGCGACATGATCCAGGCCGCTATGCATTTTGCGCACCAGCACGCTGCTCCTGTCCAGTTTGCTGGCTTGACAGAGGATCAGAAGCGCGACATTGAGGCCTGGTACCTGAACACCTTCGGCGGCGGTCAGCGTGGTGCTATCGGCTTCGACTTCATCCCGATGACCCATATCACTCAGTACTTTCACGATCATCCAGGTTCTGTCGGCAAGGTCGCTGGTGCTCCTTCTCATCTTGGTCGCATCATGAGCCCTTGGCGCCCGGTTGCTCTTCAGCACCTCTCCACGATGGGCCAGCAAGTTCCTCGCCACCACTTTGGCCGCGCCTGGTAAACTTTGTTCGCCCACTGTCGCGCATCGTTGCAACGTCTGTCCCGACTAGGCCTTGCACAACGATTACACCATTTCCATCTCTTTCTTCGATTTGTTCCCAGATGTTGCCAGACTTGCTCAGTATGGCTTTTGACACACACTATCGAGTGTATGTCTTCTGGGTCGGTTTCGAAGCGATTTGCTCAAGATGTGGATGGTTGACAGTTTGAGACGATCTGACTGGATGATGGCTGCCACTGATGAACACTGAATGTACCTAATGTTTGCTTTTCTTCAAATACAATGATCATTGATCACCAAACTTGTTCCTTCTCTTGCATTGTGACTTGTTCTTGTTGTTGCTGTTGTCTTGAGATCGAAGTCGAAGTCCATGCCAGCGCCGCGCTTGTACTGAGTTGGAACGGCTTGCTGGACAATATCGGGGTACTTGGGATTGGAGTTACTGGGAACATTCGGAAGACCGCTAACGACGGTGATGTCTTGGCCACCAGTGGTATGGATATCGTCAGCCATGGGGAAGGTGCCAGTGAGTTGCTATGCCTTCTGACGACTTCACTCGCTCACTGAGTGTCGGTATTGCCAATCGTCGTCGTCTTCCTGTCTGGGATCATTGTTGGTGAGCTACTGCGTACGGTTGCTACCAGATCCCCAGCTTTGATAGCCATGTTGGTGCTCAGATGTTGACTTGATGAAAGGGACGATGCTGGTGCTTGGGCTTTTGCGCATCTGCACTCCAAGGCTACTGCCAGCTAAAGAAGGAAGGTTGGGGAAGTAGGAGTTGTGCGTGTGAACTTTGAGAAAGCACCTTGATGTGCGTATGACGTTCCGACCGCGTACAATGGTGTGTATTGCGTTCTGACCGCCTATAGTAGTGCGGATTAGCATCAGAGCATGCTAGAAGGTACCGCATTCTTCTTGCCGTCGGGAATCTTGATATTGAGGGCCTTTCGAGCCCTGGTCTTCTCGCCCTTCTTGTTCTTCTTGCTCGGAGTCAGCTTGCTACTGAAGGATTCATCGTCTTGAGGGGTAGGGCTAGACAGTTGAAATGTTTGAAAGGGCTTATAGCGCTCTTTGGTTGGAGTGCTTGGTGTAGAGAGGCGAGAGGTGGTGGCATCACGGTAGCGGACGTCACGCCGCGCTTCTGGGTGCTTGGGGGACCGATACGACCAGAAGTAACTGGGAACCTTGGATAAGTTGACGGCGGCGCGGTCAGGTACATTGATCCCATAGTGCCCGTGAGCTGACCTGAAGTAGGCGTCATCAAGTTGGGGAAACCGGAGGCCATGTTTCCGAGTAGTAGGACCAGCAGCTGACCTGGACCCGGCAGTGGCTTCTCCTTGGGATGCCTGAGCAGTCCCTTGCCCATGTCGCGAATGTCATAGTCAACAAAACCTTCCAACTCATCGTCTTTATGCTGCATCATATCGGTAGCAGTGATATCGTCAGCCTCCTCGATTCGGCTGCTGAATGACTCTTCCCAATCGTCGCCGTACTTGTCTTTGCCATTGTCGATTCGACAATGCGTCGTGTATTGCGTTCTGACCACCCAGACCATAATCACGCATGTTGTCGATTCCAACATTGCCGTAGCGTTCTGAGGCTACCCATAGAAGCTGTCTCCGCGACTCAGCGTTTTATCCACGAAGATGGAGGTAAACGGAGTCAAGTAGCTGATCAACGTCATAGGCACAACAACCCAGATGACCACGAGACAAAATGCGAAGAGGTCATGGAAGTGGCCGGTGTCTAGATGAGTTGGTAGCGGAAAGGCTTCCTGGAGGCCTTGCTGCGAGGAGGAAGATGGATCCAACGGGTGAATACCGGACGAGGCTTAGCATAGAGGAGGCAAGCGTTCTTGCCGAGTTGACCGGAGTGCTCGTGGAAGTACTGGGTGATATGGGTCATGGGAATGGCTCCCGATACAGCAGGAGCCTTGCTGTACCAGACGGTGCCTCTTCGCCCTGCATTCCAATGGATCATTTCCTTGTAAAAATGCAGACGAACCTCAGAACCAACGTCACCCATATTGTCGATTTCACGTGTCACGACAAAGAGGTTCTGTAGGTTCTGAGGTTCGTGAAGGCTGATCTTTGCGCGGATACTGCATTGCTCGATGCGCAGCATCGACCGAGTCGAACTCGATGCGGAACACGAGGTGCATCTTGCCTTTGGATGACACCAACATGAAGGTATACGCTCAGTCTCTTGTATTTGAGAGGGCGTCATGATATCGTACACGGAGTCGTCAGCTGAGCCAGGAGTGCTCAGACGAACCAAGAGGGTGTATGAGCTCGGCGTGCGTCGTCGTGGGCCGTATCGACGGCATTGTAGGCGTTATCCCAAGCCGCACCGGCGTGGCAAAGCATTCAGATGGGCAAGCTGAGCAGTGGCAGCTTGATCAGCCTCGGACGACGCAAGAAGATCCTCATGTGGGTCGTTACCGACGAAGTCATACTCGGCATGGTCCTTCACACCCTCCTCGTAGTTCTGTGCCTCCATCTCCTTGCTGTGCCTGTCAAAGTCGAAGTCCATGCCGGCAGAGTGCGTATCCTGCATGACTGAGGAGCTCCAAAACCGACAGTGTGATTTGGCCTTCGAACTCCTGACCTTGCCAGTGTCCTTACCCTGGACAGTGGCGAAGTCGACAAGGGGAGGTTCAGCTTCGTTCCGCCAGTGTTGGCCCTTATCACCTCAAACACCCTGCGTTTTGGTTGTTGTTCTTGATGATGGCTCCCTGGCCAAGAAACTGGTGTAATGATGAGACATCTTGAGATGTTGTGAAAGAACTTCGGGCTGGAACAAGTGTCCTTACGAAATCCTAACCGGCAAAGGACATCTGGGACTGAACCAGAAACCGGAGGTGATCGATATCGGCTCCGCCCTGACATGGCCGTATCGATATATCCATATTGAATCTTACGGTATCTGTGTTCTGCCTACAGGCTCTGGCTCCAACAGTTCATAGGTTCCGTGGTTGACTATGTGGAAAAGTCATGTGAACAGGGTTGGTGGCGTAGATGTTGTCTGGGGGTGTGACTGACATACCACACACCCCTGGGAAGCACTGACAATATGGCAAAACATGCAGAAATGCCTACGAACCCGTGCGAATCCTCAGCAAGACTTCTTTTGACTGTAATGGCTGCGAGTCGGTGCGACGCAGTGGGACTTGAGGCTTGGTGTGCAGTAAACGACCCCTTCGTTCCCTTCTCAGCTGCTGGGAAACACCAGCAAACCCAAACGATAGCCCGGAAGCTATACTGACGTCTTGCAGCGCACTTTCAACAGATGAAATGCTGCCGTATCGGTTTGACAGAGCAAAGTGTCACTCAAAAGCCAATTTGAAGTGATGCGGGAAGAGATGAAGGGTAAGAAGCGAGCTCTGACGCAGGCTGACTTTTCACCCCTCTATGACATGATGACCCATATTTCGTGACACTTCATTGTGTTGTGAAGGAAGGAGCTGCCAGGCCTCCTGACCCTTGTGAAAGCCTATCTCAGGGGCTTCGGGCTTGAGCACGCAACACCGTGTATGTAGAATGAACATCTACAGCTTTGATACTACGTCCCCTATCAAAGTCTAAGAGATCATCATCCAAGAGACTTCTGGCGTCTAACTGGCTCTGCTATCGCAAATCTTGTGTTCTAGTTGTTGAACTTGTAGCGAACTTGATGTTTTGCAAGCTTCCCTCTCCATTCCCGATCGTTGCAGTCGTATGCTGTGCCCCGATTTATGGGCAACAACTTGGCCTCCTCAGGAGTGACTTTATAGCTCCTGAGGATGACGTTTTGGCTGCGTGCACCATGCTGATCTCGCTCGTTGGCGGATACTGCGAGGACGCAGGATATCGGAGTGGTACGCACGGGCCATGGCAGCGTATCATGAAGTCCGTTATGATGTAGCAGCTGGCTTCCACGACTTCACCAGCGACAACAGCATCACATACGATCCTACTTGTTGCCAGATACCACAAGCACACAAACACTTCCACAAGACACCCCTCGGCCACTAGAAGCCAACAAGATGACGCCCTGCAAGAAGCGGGTCTGCTGCGAGATCACCGAGGCCTACAAACTTTGGGTCAAGGACGGCGGCGTGAAATGGCTGTTCCGCGACGCCTACACACGCGTGGGAGGTCGCTAGGCCATCTAGTCCAAGAAGGACAAGGACGCCATCAAGTATGGTCGCCTGAGAGCTGTTGAGGCAGCTCGGAAGGGCACAAGGTACGTTCCGGCTTCGAAGAGCGTTACCAACGGCACCCCACGAGGCTACAGCTATCCTGTGGCTAGCTGATCTACAGCCAGTAATCCTGCGAAGACATCCGCGCTCTTCTATTGCTGAGGGGCAGCGTTCTATGTTTGCTACGCAATACGAGCTAACAGGCTACGCAGGAACATCAACACTACCGACTCCTCCGCCAACGAAGACCGTAGCGAACTTCAACAGAAGTTTCAGCAGATTGGTGTAACACCAGCAGCATATTTCGCATAGAGGATCAGCCTGGAGGGCGGCGAAGCGGGGAGCAAGAAAGAACCCAGACGAGGCCAACGGGACAAACGGCGACGCCATGGACATCGACGGCAGCGCAGCGGAGCAGGCCACGCTGAAAATGGAAACATGAAGAAGCGCAGTACTCTCTCATTTGCTGTGATGACCATACTGACACAGCAGGCAATCGTGTACACAGGAGTCATCCGCCGGCCGGGCGTGACCATCGACAGCGAATATTTCGGTCTTCGAAGACCTATTACGGTCCGCACGACGGACGAGCCGTGACTGTCAACGAGACGATTTCGTACCACTACACGGAGGTGATCGGCTTAGCTCTTTCGATGATGGTTGCGACCAGCGCAGCGGTCTGCGGCATCATCATTGAGCACACCACCACTTCATCCGCCACGAAGGCCGGTAGTGCGAGCATCCTGTACGGCGATAAGACTTGAACGACGACCGAAGAAAACACGGATGGTCGGTCGATGTGGTTGCAAGAAGGAGGGTGGTATCCGGCTTCGTCGGCAGCGTCGTCTGATGTTCAGGCTGACGAAGATGGCGCAAACTAGCCAGTACCGAGCCCCTAAATAAAATCAGGTACACTATTGAGCGCCATGCTTAGCTGCAGACGCCTCGCGCCGCAGATCATAACATAGCGCATGCTATGCATGGTAACGAGTTTCTGGCAAGCGTCTTGACCCTTATCCTCCGGAAACAACTCCTAGTCGAACGGCATCTGCGTCGGGCAGGGTCGAGTAAGCCTGAAGCTACCATAAGCTGCAGGGATGGTGTCACCAGGATCAAGGGGTGCGCGCAAGTCCGCGTATGGACGACTAGACACCCTGTTGAGTGAGCAATGTCCAGCGTGGCGATTTGACAGCCTCAACCCAGCTCTGGGTTCGGGCTCGTGGACAAGGATCGTATACGCACTTTCTGGAAGTCGCCCAGAAAGACATGGCTTGTGCCCGCACCGGCGCTCCTGGGGACTAACTGAACCCAACTGGTCGAAGCCAACGTGGACGACTAGTGGGTACGTCTGGCCATTCTGCTTAGAACGGGCAGAGGCGGGTACGGCAACGTTCGGATGTCGAAAACTGCAGCCTGGTCTTGCAACGCATACAGATTTTACTATCTTCGAAGATATCCAGATCGAAATTGAGACACTCTTGGTGTCGTCAACTGGAAGACTGTGCACTGCTGTTGAGAAGGAACAATCTCCAGCCACTAGAATGATGACGGCTTGTGAAGACATCCGTCTTGGACCGGCCTCCATGCCATCACGAAGTGCGACTAGTAAGAAACATGCTATGAGGGTACCTTTTCCAGCATGGATGCCGGATTCAGAGCTGCGCGCTGAATGTTTTTGCATCGCTCATGGCGCTCGTCGAGCTTGGAGCTTCAGTGTTGTACCGAACGCACATCTTATTATCGAGCCAAAAACGAAAACGACAGTGAGAATATTAGACAAGATGTCTACCGCTGAGGGCGAAGGCGCTGCTTTGCAAGTGGGCCGGAAAGCACCGTAGCCGACTTGAACCAGAGCAGATGTCTTTCGTGTTTGCTAACTCCCAGCGATGATTTTTTGTAACAGTGCAAAGGTTGACACTAACCATGACATCTCAGAACAATGATGCTACTGATGACCCGACTAACTCCATGCTCTTTTAATTCGTCTTCAGTCGCTCGTTGCTGTGAGGTTTGCGTCTATGCTACGGTAGCACCGGCATATTTCAGCGCGCCCTGCAGCTCAACGTCGTCAACTTCCTGGGGACCAACGCAGCTTTTAGACGGCAACGATCGTTACTTTCAAGGCGCCATGGCTCTCGAAATTCTGATGCTCTGTGGTAGTCTTTACCGAATTACCGGGACATCCGTCGAGCTCGATGTTATGGGCCAAAGCCACTCAAAACCCGAGCATCAAAAGCACCAGGCGAGTGCTGCGACGTCAGAGATGGGTCCCTACAGCATCCGCATATTTCGTTAATTCGTCGCGCCAGCGTAGCACCCTAGAACCATTATGATGCTGGTGCAAGATTGCAAGAGTAATCCGCAGAGGGCTCCTATGGTTCCTGACGAAGCACGAGGAACCTGCGAGAGCAGCATCAACCGAAAGCAGTCTTGAATGTTATGTAATGTATCCTGCAACTTTGGAGGCAAATCCCTAGGATACGACAGTGAGGTAGTCACACATCGAGCAGGTGTCGGATCCCGATGCATCTGTAAGATACTACCACCATCATCAACAGCGTCAGGCGTTCAGATGGACCCATGTCTGCTGTTGTACCTCTCTCTGAAAGGGTGTCGCATCCTTTGTGTACGCGGTATTGCTGTGGATATCTCCTTGTCTCTTCCGATTTGAGACGTCCCAAGAGTGGCGTGTCATCGGCGTGCTGGCGGTCTGTCATGGGACATGCTGCAGACGGCTCATACGATCGTATGTCAATACGCATCCGTAAAGCTTCGACCGCTTCGCGATGTTGTACATCCTGGATAAACATTCACGGGGTTGAAGACAGATTTCCGAGATCGAGGTATCTGATTGTATTCGTCGCTTCGAGGTATTGTATGCAGCAAGAATTGTTTGCTTCGACATCGGGTGCTTGCCGGCCCCGAGCTTTGGGCAGTACGACGGCGACGACGGAGATTCTTGCATTGATCAAGGCGACAAGGCGCTGCAATGGAGAGCCAATGCTTCTCAAACATGGTCATCCAATGTTGCTTACCGTGGTGGTGGCTATTGTTTGTCTTTGGGGCGGCGGAAGTCCGCTTCAGCAGGTCGCCGAAACTACCGACTTTGGACACGGCGCTGACATGGGCAGCGGCAGGGGCCTTCATGCAGCTTCCTCGGTTTAATTTCAGGCGTGTTTGAAGAGACACTTTCGCGAGGTTCGTCGTCGCTGCGCATGGCATGGCAGGGTGACGATTGCCTCCCAAAAAGCCCCTTGGTTGCCAGCGAAGCAGTTGCGGACCGCGCCAGGCACAGGGCAGCTGGGTGATTGTAGCCCTCCGTCCAAGCCCTTATGTATATAGGTGTGTCGATCTTCGAAGTTCTCGTCGTTATGATTGAGGAGTTACGATGTCAATGCTTCGGGGGTCTGCCTCGATGCGCCGGCGAAGCCTCCTCTGTCAAGGCTGATGAGGATGTCGTAAAACGTACGCGGGTCACCGAAGTAAGCTCAAGCAACAGGGTGGTGCTCTTCATCGATCCTGTTGTGGTTGATGTGGGTTAGAGGGGTCAAAAGTTGGGCTTGTCGCGCATGTCAGCGTCCACGCGCTGGCTGGCAAAGATGTCGCAGGTCGAGTTAATCACAAGAGCCTCTATACCATCGACAGCTTGCTCTGGACTTGCTGAGGAAGCTACAAAGCTTGCGAGAAGACTTCTCGTCGCCTTTGTTGTGGTTGTGGATTGTTAGCAAAGACAGAGCTTGCGTCGGGAGTCAGCTTCGAGCGGCCAGCAAAGCTACAGTCGGTCACGACCATGGCAAAGACCTTGCGGCGGACGAAGCTCTTCCAGAGATCATCAGATCCACGGTGATTCTGTCACTACCTTTGTGATGGTCCGTATGTGGTGGTGTTGAAGCGGCGCGGGTACTTGCTTGGGAGAATTGAAGCCCAGAAACGCGCACCATGAGGCACTGCGACTGACGAAGCTTCGTCACCTCGTCATCTTGTTCACATGAGTTCGCTCTACCAGCTGCGTAAATCTGAACGAGCGAGAGGTTGTGTTGAGCGTCATCGTGTTGGTGGTGTGGTTGAGGCAGCGTTGTTGAAGGAGGCTCGAAGCTTACCCCACAAAGAATCTCAATATCGGAGCGCAAGACAAGGGGTCCGGACAGCTACCAGCCTCCCAGAATCGCGCTTGCAGCCACATGCAGTGGGCTCGACCGTGCGGAGAATATCGTTACGAGACTGCACGACATAGATAATTGATGACAGGTCATGTAATGACTATCGAGGTCTTCGAGGGTGGTGTGACCATAGTGGGACTCGGCAAAGCCCTCGAATGTCTCTGTATGACCCTATCTTCCTTTACTACACAGCTAGACGTTGTTTGTCCACTCCACGGCGCGCGACGTGTCATATACAGATACACGATGGAACACTTCGTATGAAGACCTCAGCTTCCCCTACAATGGAAGACCTAGCTGAAGAGCTGTACTACTCTAGAAAGTGTCATCCGCATCCCCCACCAAGCCGCGTCCCTAGACTCCCCCTCCCGTAGGCTTGTAGCTTCCGACTCCGTTGTACAGGAGGACTCAGAGGTCTCGATATTACCTCAGACAACTCGAAATCGCTGCCCATAGCGAGACTCTCACCACTCAAGAGGAAAGGTGGGTAGTACCGTTGTCCTCGTGGCTAGAACATCTACCGCTCTCTAGGGCTTGACGAATGCTCGATGATGGCCGAAGAAGCATGGATAGCATCAGGAAGATCTCCAGATGTCCATCATCTATTCTATACCTCAAGCTCGGCGTTTGATCAACTACAGCGCACGTGTGCGTTACCTAGATTAAGCCAGGACTTGTCCCGTTGGTTGTCTTGTCACTTGACACCGCGCTCAGGAACATCGCGCCGAATTTCCAAGACCTCTCTCTTTCATACTCAGCAAAGACCTTTCGCTCCCTTTCATGTGCAAAACAACCTCACTACTG